ACACACTAAACTGGAGGAGGAGGAAGGCTCGATGCCGAAAACACACAGGGTGCAGACGTCATTATGGACGTAACTTTCAGGTGGAGCGTGTACGAGCTGGGCACGTTAGCACTGGGAGAGGGGTTTTCACAAGGAGAGAGTCGCAGGAAGCTCACTCTGACGTCTCTTCTCATCCTCCTCCTGGTGACATTTCCACACTGTCCTGGTTTGGGGAAGCCACACTTCTGATCCTAGCTCACCTGTTCTGGTTGGCTATGTGACTTGATAAACCACCAGCCACACAGGCTCCCTCTTCCCCATGAACTGCGTGAGGCTGGTGGCCAGACAACCCAGGCCTAGACAAAATGCACGGCCTGAGTGAGTGACCTTTGCCACGTAGATCCCAAGCACACGGCATGCTGAAAGTGATCGCAGCATTATCATAATATGAATTCTCCATGTACACCTTTAACAAGGCATACGAAACATTGGAAAAATTATGTCACTGGAATCATCTAAAATGAGGTCGATTACTTAACACTGCAGCGCTATGACATTTTTGAAAATATTGTTCTCCCCATAGGATTTTTTTCCATTCTTGATACCTATATCTTAAAAAATTATGTCCCCTGGACAACGATAATTATTCTTTGTGTTTAAAGTTGTACTGCCTTATAAGATTCTTCTCCCAAACCCAAACACAAAGCTCAGGGACTGAATGAGGATAAGAAAATCAGATTTTAGGGACAAACCACGAAGTTCACGACAATACATCCTTCTAGCATCCTGCTTTGGGGCTGGCTGTTTAGCATGGTTATAATGTTTCATGTTGAACCCTTACAGGTTATGGTACCTAGCTTAGTTATCCTAGTCACTCCTTATGTAGAACGAAAATCTCAGCAAATATCATACGCGACTGAGAAAAATAACACTTCTTTCATCAGAATTATGTTTGTAGTTATCATCTGAAGGATACTCAACAACTAGAGAATGACCTTATGTCTTCATTATTTCTTTCAGAAATTCAACGTCCAAACAGATATATGACCAGTATTAGTCACAGACTGAAGAGAACCCTTCTTAACGTGCTCATTTTTGCTTTGCGAAAGCAGCAGACCTAACCGATCTTTCCCTTTGTTACCTCCTAGTTGCTACTGTTCCACTTCATACACGGGAATTTTAAGGCACGATCTCTCCCAAATACAAAGCAACAAAAACGCCAACTCTCACCCCTCTTTTTTGGCTCTGATTTAGTTAATCAGTTACTTATCGAGGAGTAAAATATATTTCATTGCATAAGTCGCTGCCTGCACGAGACCTTGTCCCCGGTACTGAAGACTGCAAGGAGCAGTGAGTAACACTGAGCGAGCCCGCAGCTCGCTGCTGACTCCCGATAGTCACATCCAGGCTGTCGCATACAGGAACCCCAGACGACAGCAGCACAAATGAGGACCAGGACCCACGTTTCATCGGGGGATCATTTTGAGGGCTATTATCACAGTTGTGCTTGTTTTTGTTAAACTAGGAAAGAAAAAAGTCGAGAGTTAGGTTCACCAGCAAACGTAAACATTCTCACTTAACCCTGCATTTACTTCCTCTTTGCCTTTCTCTCGTGCTAAAATATCATGATATGGTAAACTCAAAATCCTGTTCCTTTCCTATGGAAATATTTAAAGACAAAAATGAACCAAATGCCATTCGGTACAATGTTAAGAATTATTAGTTAATTCACTCAAGAGGCATCTTCTAAAACCAACAGAGACTATCTCTAGCCAGGGGCTCTAAAATCATTCCGTCAGAAGCACATTAATCAGCCACCATGATAGAGAAACTCCTCAACTTATGAGATCTTCATTGTGCAAACCCCCATTTATTATTATTTTTATCATATACACAAACCCCTGAAAACAACCAACACATATTCATGAACACCTAAGGTTAGCTTAGCACTCACACCCATGTTAAGGGGTCTGGTAATAAAACGAAAGGCACTGATTTGTGATGCAGAAAATTTTCTGATTACAAGAACGTGATCAGATACAGAAAATCTATTTATCTGAACCCAAGCAGTAATTCCTGGAAAGAATGTCTTGTCTCTCTTTGAAAAGCTTAAGGGTAGACTTGGGGAGACATCGATGAAGATGTTTCCAGCCGGAACCAAGAATAATTTGATCACCTCAGAAAGAGTACAGTTAGCAGAAGGTCAGAGGTCAAGGGGAGGCTCTGATGCTTTGCTTTTGGTGACCTCTAACCCCCACCAACACCACTGCAAACTCTTAGAGGTCAGGGGTGGATCTGTCAGTCACATCTGTATTTCTGGGTCTTTGTACTACTCATTAAATGAATAAAGCAATCCCATTTATAACCTCATCCAGGAGCTAATTAGTTCTTTAAACCTCAAACTCGCAAATGAGTTGCTCTGCTACTAACAAAGCAAAATTTTTATTGCCATGGAAGACAAAAATAATTTATTTACCTGTTGGTGTTTTCGATGTTTCACCTTTCTTAAAGACCATAATATAACTTGTCATAATGTCATTAGCACCTACAGATTTCACAAGGCAATTCTCAAACAGTGCTGTCTCCTTCAACAGCAAAAATGGGAAATGGTCATTTCAGAGAGCAAACATAAACTCCATTACCACATAAACAATAAATCTGTTTTAATCCTAACAAAACTACATTATATAATGCTATGCAGACCAAACGTTCCTTCAAAGCTTCTTAAAGGATGACTTTTGATGCTTACTTTTTACCAAAACTGGCATCACAACTTTCTTGATAGAGACAAAAGGACGCTTCCCGATTTTTCATCTATTATTAACTCTGCCACTGAAAACAGTCAACATTGAGCTTTGTATTCAAAGGTAACCCCCAGGTAGACTCAAACATCCAAACGAGATGGTATAATTAATTACGCATATCAACTTTCGTTGATTGAAGTAAATTCTAAGTGAGGAACGTAAATGTACTTAGATATGAAAACGTGAAAGGCAGGATAGGGCAAGGATACTGAAAATGTAGCATCTGCCTGGCGATTTAGTATTTGACATGAAAGTTAATCTGAACAATTATTTTCTTTGGACTGTTTTAACTTGTAGATATTATATCATCGAAAATGTCGAAAGTTTCCTGTTTATTAGGAAACAAAGCAAAGAAAGACCTTAAGGATAAAATCTGGTGACATAATTCCTTTCCTTGGCGGTAAGAAAATTAATTCCATATTTTAGGTGTGATTTAAAAAGTTCTTAAGATTTTTAAGAAAACGTTTTAGTATAGCTCATTAATCTCACCAAAACAACCATTATGTCTATTGAGCTTCTCTGACACACCCAACACAATATCGTTCAAGTATAAGGTAGAAAGAGTTTATAATCTAGCAAAGGAGATAAAACTGCAAATTGTCAACAATAAAGTAAAGTATTAAGTTGTAAGCATCTATCGAGGAAGATGGGAATCCAGGCTGTTACAGCTCATGAGTCAATGCACGTAAAATACACCGTCAGTAGGCAATAAGGTTTAAAAGAAAAGAACTTTCCATAAAACTCAGTTTTTAAATGATTCTAAATCATTTAAAGTAAGAGCAATAGCACACCTACACATTAAAGGGAAAGTTCAAAAGCTAAAAAAGTCTATACTATTTTCCTTTCATAACAGAAGAAAATAAAGGAAAGGTATATTCCTGTGGCAGGTGTTCTAAAATTGAGCTAGAGCAGGTCAGGGAAAAATAGTTTCCCTCTGCTTTGCCACGTTCATCCTCCCCCTTCCCCAACGCAAAGGGTTAAAGTTTGAATCTGCTCCAAGAGAAAATTCTAGAAGGACAATGTCTCCCTGCTCCCCAAGAAACCACCCCGCACTTGGATCACTGCCACCTCCTGAGGGAGAGCCACCCTCCTTCTACTCCAGTTCCTCTCACTCTCTCTCTCCCAACCTCCCCTTCTGCTTCAGCCTCCCTCCTTTCTCATCCTAAAGCCTGAAGGAAAATCGCCTCTCATCCGAGCCTCACACAGACGTTCTCTTCCGGGTCATCACCTACTTTCTTGCCGTTCTGAGCATCATTTTGACACAAGCTACGGATGGCCCAGCAACACTTAGACTAAGGCAGGCCGAGGGAGCACTGCTCAGTCAGCAAAGGTTTCCCTGCCAAACACTGGGAGGAAAAAAAACACATGCTTGTTACATAATAATAACAAAGAACAGAAAACAAAAACGAAGGGGTTAATTCACTGAGTGAGGTAGAGCTAGAGCAGAAAACCGATTGCTTTCCTAATCCGAAAAATACACAGAGCAGAAAACAGCCATCTCCTCAAAGAAAATGTCAGGCAATTACAAGTAAAAGAACTATAGTTGAAGGCAATTTTTCTCCAAACTGTTATCCCCATTAGAGAATTACATTTCTCTCTCTTATTTTTTCCTTAAAGAAAATTAATTAAATGCAAAACAGTTTTAAGTCACAAAAGTTTGTCCTGCAGAAAGTTTCCCAGTGGTGAGCCGTCGATTTAGAGTTTATTTTTCCTAATTAGTTCTACTCAACTCTTCCAGAGATTAAATCTCATTAAAATCAGTTCGAAATTCTTACTTAAATATTAAAGTTTTATTCTAAAATATAGAAGCAAGCAATGCCTAAAGAACAGGAGAGCTCCTAGCCAGGACTGTGCGGCCGTGAAGAAAGTCAAAAGCTTCAAGCCACCTACTTACTGCCCATCCCTACAAACAACCAGCCATCGTGTCCGTTCTTGCCAATTGCGGGGGGGAGGGGCACCGCGCTGACCCCTAAATGTACCTTCAGATCTGTTGGGAACACGCCTCCTCCTTCTGTGCCAAAGTCCCATCCACGTGTCAAGAACCTGTTCACATACCCCTTCCTCCACGAACCCCTTCCTGAATCTTCGCTGAAATTGCATGGCTCATCCTTTGATTCTAATAGCTTTTATCCTGAATAATTACATTTTTAGAAATATAATTTGTGCTAGAATTCTTTTAAACAAGGGTTTTGAATATTGTGATGAGCACAGCATCTCACGTAATAAGTGCTCATTAAATACATATCACGTGATAAATTTTTAAACCACCTGAATTGTATACGGTAATGAGCCAAAAACTAACACCTCTATTAAGTAACATCTCTATTTTCTAACCCTCCTGAAGGTGTCACTTTTCATGCCATTGTTGTCCTCATTTTTGCTGGACATTGTTTTTAATTTGAGGCCACAGGTAGTGATAATGGTGTTTGGGGCTTGTGGAGAAGGAGTTATTGAGAAGTGCGAAAGGCAAATTCTAGCCCCTTCGGTAAGTGTCCCTTTTCCTAGTCTGTGCCCTAGTTAAACAGAGGATGTACACCTGCGTGTTCAGTAGTTCCACTCCCTCTATTCACCCAGACTGAAGTATGAGGTTTACAATGTGATCGACTCCCACATTTTTTCTCATACTGAAGTACACACGCAGGTGCTCTTTATTATCATTTTACTGAGTGATTATCAAATAGGATAGGATTGCAAACCATCATTTCATGAACTGAATTATTCATAAGAGTGAATTTCAATAGACTGAGCATCAACTTACCATTGCTCTGAGCCGTCAGCTAAGGCTCACGAACATTTTCCTGATGGGGAATTGTTGTGGCGATATTATTTGTGGTGTGCAAATGTCAAATTGGTAAAGCTCCACTATTAACAATGGATCTATACACGCCTGACGAGAGCTCTGTGCCTGCGACCCACAGGCTTAGATTTCTAAGGCTCTTTTTCCCTTTTCTCTGTGAAAAGAAACCCTTAGAATTCCAGTTACAAGGTTTACAGCATTTCAGTCTCGTGCCCTATAACATCTGATGTTTGGAGGTTAATAAAATGAGATTAATCCAGAGATACTACATATTGGTTCTTTTCTTTTCTCCTTTCAAGCACAATACGCTTAATGATGCAGTCTGCGCGGGACGGACCCGGATTCTGCAGACAGATGACCACGGGTGGAGGTTTGCTGCCACCCAGTGGCTGGAAGTGTAACTCACCCGCACCCACTGCCAGAAACGTAAGGAAACTTAAGGAAACGCAAAAACGGGCCCGTCTCCTGAGGACATCAAGCCTTATCGATAATTTATATTTACTGTCTCATATTTACAAAGAAGATAAAATAATGGAAAAATTATTGAGTGCCTTCATGGAAGACAAGCCAAAGCCTCCCTTTTTATAATTCTAAGCCATAAGAAACTTGCTATGTTCATTCACATGGTTTCCCTTTCAAAAACTCCCGGTTTAGAAACTTTGCCTACTACTGTATCATATGAACCAAACTAAATATGAAATAATTATAAAATACATCTCGCCGCACGAAAGATGGCACGTTGAACATGCAAAAATTTTTATATCAATCTCTGAAGAAGTAAAACATGCAAATATATATATTAATAGAGTGAATTCATTTTGAACGATTTTGAATGATCTTTAAGATCCTTAACCTCACTTAAACAATTCTAATACTAATGGTTTTTTAATATAGTTTATTATAAAAATAATACACATTTA